AATAAATATAGATAACTGGACTCTTCATATATCCAGCAATAATGTTATCCATTTGGCTAGCTATTACACCAATTTCCGCCCGTGGACAGCAGAACTTATTTATCTAAATTCATAATACAGATAATCCTACAGATTAAATACCTTGAGATTTCGTAACAACTAGGATTTTATAACTTTTATATATTGCGTTCCTTTTTTTTTAGTCTCTCCTTTCATGAGAACTTTTTTTTTATTATTCTAAGAATACTTATCCATTGATATAACAGTTTATAACTTTAGAACACTTTATAACACAAAAGAACACTTTACAAATGATATTACAGGTTACTTTACAGTCTTCCTAAGACCGTCATCCTTCGTAGTACATTTATCAGAGAACTTTCTATGACTTTACTCAGTGCTTCTTTTTAAGACTATACACTCATTTTCTTGCTATGATTTTTCTCTGTGCTTCTTCCTAAGACTATACTTTCTACTTCTTACTATGACTTTACTCTGTGCTTCTTACTATGACTTTACTCTGTGCTTCTTGCTATGACTTTACTCTGTGCTTCTTACTATGACTTTACTCTGTGCTTCTTGCTATGACTTTACTCTGTGTGTCTTTCTATGACTTTGTGCGTTCTGGTATGACTTTACTTTGTGCTTTGTGCGTTCTGGTATGACTTGCTATGACTTTACTCTGTGCTTCTTGCTATGACTTTACTCTGTGTGTCTTTCTATGACTTTGTGCGTTCTGGTATGACTTTACTTTGTGCCTCTTACTATGACTTTACTCTGTGCTTCTTGCTATGACTTTACTCTGTGTGTCTTTCTATGACTTTGTGCGTTCTGGTATGACTTTACTTTGTGCCTCTTGCTATGACTTTACTCTGTGCTTCTTCAAGTCTCATCATGTCCCCCGTAACACTTTTTCACGATTTAACAAAAATGGCTGCACGTCTCTAACTAGAATGTTGGCTCGTGACGGTGGCCATTGATTAACTGGCTCGTTTTGCATGCTCCTACTGAGAGGATAAAGAATAGCTCATTTCACCAGAGTTGCATATACAATGAAGCTTAGTATATGCCTACTAATAGTGTATATGTCAAACAAATATAATAATTAGTTTAAATGAATAAATTCAACAAGATTGACAAATGGGGGAAACAAAGTGGGTACAATCACCCACACCACAGTTCACCATGGCCAGTTACACCATATTGTAGTGTGCAATGTAATGTATATATTGCACTACAATCCATATTAATAAAGGAGATCGGCTGATTATCTCTTTGTCTTTCTGATCGAGGGAAGGGGGGAGGGGGCAGAATCTGGGTGAATCTGGGTGAAAGTCCTCAGCAAACTTTGCAGGGTTACTGGGGTTTGGTCGGAGATGGTCATACGCGAGTCGGAATAAACCCCTACTCCCCCCCTACTCCAACACCCCCCCCCACTGTTCTCTCCACCTTTTAGGAAATGGCAATTAGCCTCGATCCTCAGAGAGAGATTCGCGCAGCAAATTCTTGTATACGAGACGATTAATGTTAGTTTGTCCTTCGTAATTATTTCTTTTATGGAAACAGAGTTCAGTTAAGATGGTTATAGTGATGAAGAGAAGGTGGTGAAGGGTAGGAAAGGTGGTAAAGGGTAGGGAAGGTGGTGAAGGGTAGGGAAGGTGGTGAAGGGTAGGGAAGGTGGTGAAGGGTAGGGAAAGTGGTGAAGGGTTGGGAAGATGGTAAAAGATTGGGACGGTGGTCGAAGGGTATGGAATGGTAGTGAAAGGGAAGTAAAGAAGTGAAAGGTCGGGTAGATGGTGTAGATGAAAGTAATGAAGATGGTTACATTGTGATGAAGAGGGTCTTGTGTAGTGTAGATGAAAACAATGTTGAAAGCTGAATGTAGCTGAAATAGTGGCACGAGAGAGCGTGTTGTAAAGAAGGCTAAGGTGAATTAGATAGTGAAGTACAAATGTATCCTCCGTTACCTAGCCCGCCCCTGTGACCCTTTCCTGTACATAATAACAGAGTAACAACAGTAACAGTGTATTTGAACAAAACACTACACTACACAGCACAATTGTATATTATCCTACTCTCAGCTACACTATTTTATAAGTAATATAATTACAATTCTATGCAACACAAAGCAATTTAAACCTATATTACTGAATAATCAAATGCACAATATATGACACTACAGTAAAATACAACACACTACAGCAGTTGTCAACAGGACAATGCAGTAATATATAACACCACAGTTTAAAATTTAGTACTGCCATAGGGCAGTTTAAAATTCAATACAGCAACAATACAATTTTCAATAATGCAAATTACTGAATCGGTACAGAATACAAAACAAACATACTACAGTAAATAGCAACTGCCCACGGGGGACGTAAAGCCAAGTGAGCTCTGTCGTTTTCGTCCTGAAAATATAAACTATCTGCCAACTGCATACAAACGCAATATATCTGCATAGTTTGTTTCTTCCAGGAAGAACAAGTCCAACCTTCTT